TGACCCCTCCCCCCCCCCCCCCCCCCAAGGTCTGTAGCCCCATAGAGATAAATTCTGTTGCATTTACTATAAAGTAGCTAAGGTCTTATTCTCAATTCAAGTACTAGACATCCTGAAAGAGTGGAGTATGGTCATTAATATGAGCCTTCTTTTTTAAGACAAGGGAAACCCGCAGCCGCTACCCTTTGGGTGCACACAAGGTAAAACCCCCGCTCCTATGCAATAGCTCGCAAACCACATAGGAGAGGTAACCCGCACTAGGCAAGCCCAGTGCGACGAGCTCAACCCAGAAGGCAAACCCCTTGCTTTCGCTGGCAAGGGGTTTCGAACTTGAGACCTCCAACATGGAAGCCCCAAGCACAAACCACTGGGCCACCCCGAAGGGTGGTCATCATATGAGCTTTCACCATCCAACAAGCAAGAGCTTATGTATCTCAACAAGACATTAATAGCAGAACAGGTCCAGTAATCCAATTATGTCGGTGCCGATTTGACCACTTGCTTATTTCATTAACAGTTGCTTAACATATTGGATAATGGTGGAGACTCTTTCCCAAACCAAAAAGTCATTGATCAGGCATATTTAACAGTAAAGCATGAAATCATATTCTTCCCCATCTGAAACATAAAAACTCCAAAAAATAATGAGGGAATAATAGATAAATTCTTAACCAAAAACCTATGAGCTACCCTCTAAAATCCATGCCTTCCAAAATTCAATCTCGAAGTCGCGTCTTTGCTGGAACTCAAATAAAGTACTCACTCCATTCACTTTTACTTGTCCACTATACTAAAAATATAATTTCACTTTTACTTGTCACTTCTAGTTAGCATATCAAGAGTGAAACATAGCATTAATTATTTATTTTCCAAATCATTTCCCAATACCTAAGACTACAAATCAACTAATACGGGTATTATAGTAAAATATCCATATCAATCATTGTTTCTCCTAGTGCAAAGTCCAATCTAGACTAGTAAAATTGAATGGAGGGAGTACTTTCAAATTGCTCTTTTCCAAAAGATCTCCTTTTGACTTGGTGAAATATCAAAACATGATGGTCAATAGAAGAGTCCCCTCTTTTTCCTTTTCTTTTTGTCTGTGAGGTTCAGACAATGCATATAGTTAAGAAACGTGAAGCCACCACAAACAGTCACACAACTATCCTGTTCACTATTTCGTACAAGAATCCATCGCTAAAAGAATGTAAAAAGTTCATACTAATATGAACCAGCAATATCATATACCCAAAACCAAACAGACTCATTCTACATTCAACAGTTGAGCTTCAAATCAAATTACTACTAATGGACCCAAGGGCCTGGCCAAGTCATTGGGTTGAGATTTGACAACAACCAAGTCTCCCAGCAAAGATTAAAAAAAAACTAGGCTATTTCTTCCATCTGTCCTAACCTTACTGCAAGCTAACCCGAACACCACAGTTATCAATATAGAGAAAATCAAATTACTGCTAATTCGCCATGCAGTCTAAACAGATCAACCCAAAAACACCCAACAAATTTTATCGACTCTCATAACTTCACAAAAACAATCATAGCCATTTCCTCATCTAAAATCACTTTCCACAATTCCAAGTCAAAATAACAACAATACACAATAAAACCAAACACCAGTAAACAACAACACACCCAGTGTAATCCCACAAGTGTAATCCAGAGAGAATAGAGTCTACGCAGACCTTAACCAGGCTCAAAAACATCATTAAGCTAAACTACAAATACTTCCGATCCAGTAAAAAAAAACCTGATTAAAGCTTGAAGAAGCAGAAGAAGATTTTGATCGTTTAGTGAGGGGACCATGTTCATCTTCAAGAGGATCCTCAACCTCAAATTTCACCGTAAACGACGCCATTCCCGACGACATCATCAACTCAACCATTAAAATCCCAAAAAATCCAAAATAAATCCCAAGAAAACCCAAAAAAAAAAAAAGGATTTTGCTAGAAAATGAAATTGAGATTCAGAGAATTCGAATGGAGGCTAGGATTTTTTGGATTTGAATTTGTATTGTAAAATTGAAGAATCCAAAAACCCTAGGATTCAGAGAATTTGGGGATTTTTCTTTTTCTTATTGCGGCTATAAAAAATGGATAATATAAAAATGGCGAAAATATATATAAGCAAAGAAAGCGAAGTCCAATAATTGACTCACACCTGAGTAAATGACTATTATGCCCTTTGGAGGATTCGATATGCACTCGGAATTGTAAAATCGTGTCATACTTTTCGGTTTTTACCGGTTAGCTAACTGTATTTTTTTGTTTTTCACAAGTAGAGTTGGAAGATACTAGAGTGTCAATGTACGCAATTTATATGCTTACCTTTGAGAAGATAGAAAGATATTTTCTCAATAGATTTTTAGCCAAATAAATGATGAAAAAGAGTCGACAATAATAAGAAAATAAGTAGCGAAGCTAAATAATAAATCAATAATGATAATAGAAATCTAAAAAAAAGAAGAATAATAAAATAAAAAGATGTAACCTTAGTGGTTGACCACATTATATTTAATCGAAGAATTATATTGTTTAGTTAGGTTAAAATTTAAGTTTTATGTATTTATGTCATATGTTGATTTGTTTTTCTTATTCCTTTACGTGTTTTAAATACTTTTAGTAAGAAATTTAGTTTATCACGGATGAATTCATAATTTTAAATATACAATACATTAAATATTAAGAATCTTCATATCTTCGATATCTGAGAAGACATCAATAAGAATATCAAATGGGATAGAATAATTAATTAGATTAACCCAAAAATTTATATCGAGATTATTATTTTTATTGTAGTATTAAACGACAAAAATTAAAGTCATTCAAATAATGGACATTCTTGTAACTTCACCTTATATTAAATGAGCACGGGCTCAACAGTGATCTGTTTATATAGATCGTTGATTGAACAGTTGCACGCCCTGCAAAAGCGATAACAACGTCAAAGGTATCATTAAACTATATGTAAAGTCATTGCAAGATCCATCATCTTCCTTGCTCTCCATTGAATCTCTGAAATAGACGGAGAGAAAGAATAGAGTAGACGATCAGATCTAAAATCACTCTCACATCTTGAAAGAAGTTTGATAATCTACAAAGAGGAAAAACGACTATGCAAACAAAAAAAGACATTGTTGGAAAAGAAATTCAATTAACAAAGTAATCACTCCTAAAGGTTAACTAAAAATTCTTCACGAATCCAACCATTCTGGCCTTATTTTCACATAAGCAACATCAAAACTATTTTCAATTTTTTTCACATCTGAAATGAACTCGAAGCACGAATAATTAAGTACTGAAAATTAAATCTATGACAAAAGTAAGTTAAAAGTGTTATACAACAAAAATAAAGAGAACTCATCTCCTAAATTAGGCCTACTAAATTCAAAGTTAAAGCACAACACTCCTCCAAAAAACAGGTCATTGCTATACAACTACATACAATTTTCATCAAGCAAACAACTGAATGACGGCATTAGCATTCATCAATCAAGGATCATACAGTACTTATCCAGAAATCATCTCAATACTTGTTAAAATTTAGCAATTGTATCGAGACATAGCAAAGATAGCAATTGATACACAGGAAAATGTAAAAAAATATAGCAAACTGATTATATAACAACAACGATAATTAGGATTTGTTTAATGCGGAACACATGCCTACACAATCGAAACTACATACGGAGTGAATAGTTATATTGCACCAAAAAGTACCTTCAATGCAACAAATAGTACAAATTTTAACAGCTATGTTCGTACACCCACTGTCATTTCTAAATAAGGCGAATATATATATATATGCACGTGACAGGTGGGCATAGAAAATTGGGGTCCATATTCTTGGTTGGTGGACCACACGTGTCACTACTTTACACGTTTTCAATTATTATTTTTTGTTAGTTTAGACAAAAAAGAATCAAATTTGTTATGTTAAATATATTTTCTATAACGATATCTCATTATAATAGCTAAAGAACGTGAGAATAAATAATTTTTGTTATAAAGAAATTTGAGCATATTACTATTTAATATTGAGTAACTTTACTTTTGTTATTATTTGGGTCTAATTTTATTTCTTCTTTAAGGAAAAAAAATATATTTGTTTTTTATTATTAATGAAATTGTAACATAAAATATGATGTATGTATAGAATTGAAATTGTAATATTAATTGAGAAACATAATCATAGTTTCATATAAATTAAGAATACTTGTTAGGTTACGTTTTCCTCTCTTTTTAGCTTATGATAACTAGCCTTTTATGGAAAATATTTGAAGTTAGAGTCATAAAATGAAATATAATCTCATATTTATAGGCTTAAATATCTTAATCTAGTAGGTCTTCTCATAACGGATTTATTAATCTCAAACACTAAACTATTATCGGCTTATACCAACCACATAAAATAATATAGGTTCATCTGAAATCCACATAAATATATTGTATATGTTTTGTCCATCAACTATTAACATTTAACATGTGTTTACTTAAATGTAATAATAAAATAATATAATTTTTTTTCAAATTTTCTATTTATTTTTATGTCACTCTCCATTTGAATAATGAATTGACAGTTAGATAGTGACTCCTTTTTTGCAATTGTGATATGTTTTACATTTAATTATTTTTCATTTTTGTAAAAAGAAAAAGTATGGACCCCAAAAAGAATTATATGCACTTTCAATTAATGGGGCTTTATAATTAGATTCTCCCAACATTTTTAGACTTAAGTCATCAGCGGCCCCTTAAAGTTATTCGCATAATTTACTTAGACAGTTCAACTAAGACTAGTACCTATTGAACACCTAAATTGTTCAAAGGAAAAAGGGTCTGATATACCCCTCAACTTTGTCATTTAGAGCTGATATACCCCTCGTTATGAAAGTGGCTCATATATACCC